TATATTATGGTTGGAATGACTCTCACGGTAACACCCAAGCTGGGACTGCAACGAAAGCATATGATTATGCTGACATAAGGGAAGGACTTTCGCCTCCTCACGTAGATGGTCTACTGGTGTCATGAGAAGGCACCCTGTCGCAGTTCTCAGGGTAGCGTTCTGGATGTGCTTCCACTGCGTAGCACTAGCATTCGCAGACCACACTGAAAACGCATAGCTGACCATAGACCGACCTATGGCATTATAAGAGGTCAACAAGGTTTCTTTGTCCGCACCCCAAGTGCTGCCGGCTAGCGCCTTGAGGACCCTGTTCCTACTATTCATCTCGTCGCAGATAGCTGTAGCTTGCACGGATATCTTAAACATGCTGTCGAATGTGAACCCAAGAATCTTGGGGTAGTTCGTGTCGGTATTAGATTCCCCTCGACCTGCATATTCAGCTGTGTTCTCATCTCATCGCAGACCATGCGGTAAAGAGTGTGGCCGTTGATTTCGTGGTGGATATTTTCATATTCCTCGCATGGAAGTATGCGCATCTGCGACTGCGTCTGTATGAATGCCGCTCAGATCTGCCTGATAGGCTTCTTGATCTAGAGGTTCTCTCTTGTAGCGCTGGACCTCCCTCTCTAGATCATGTATGTCCTTCCTGACACGCCTAGGTGGAGGAGATTTATCCACTATATTATGGTTGGAATGACTCTCACGGTAACACCCAAGCTGGGACTGCAACGAAAGCATATGATTATGCTGACATAAGGGAAGGACTTTCGCCTCCTCACGTAGATGGTCTACTGGTGTCATGAGAAGGCACCCTGTCGCAGTTCTCAGGGTAGCGTTCTGGATGTGCTTCCACTGCGTAGCACTAGCATTCGCAGACCACACTGAAAACGCATAGCTGACCATAGACCGACCTATGGCATTATAAGAGGTCAACAAGGTTTCTTTGTCCGCACCCCAAGTGCTGCCGGCTAGCGCCTTGAGGACCCTGTTCCTACTATTCATCTCGTCGCAGATAGCTGTAGCTTGCACGGATATCTTAAACATGCTGTCGAATGTGAACCCAAGAATCTTGGGGTAGTTCGTGTCGGTATTAGATTCCCCTCGACCTGCATATTCAGCTGTGTTCTCATCTCATCGCAGACCATGCGGTAAAGAGTGTGGCCGTTGATTTCGTGGTGGATATTTTCATATTCCTCGCATGGAAGTATGCGGCAAGCTCCGCGAGATAGGGATTCAGCCTTTTACATATGTCTTCGACCACTGGGCCCGACGTCATGATCGTATAGTCATCCGCATACCTTACGATCTCTATGTCGTCTGGACGGCGAGGAATTCCGGAAAGGTAGAGGTTCAAATCGCTGATTCTAGGATCAGTAGGATTGGTACGACGGAGATCATCACACTCGTTTGCCAACCCCGCTGCCTCTGCTGGGAAGTTTAGTCTTATCTCAGGTATTCGACCAGCAGGTATATAGCGAGCGACTGCAGCTTTAATGATGTATCGGAAAATCCTTTCTGCTACCCGAACATCAGACAGTTTGTGCAGTTCTCTGAAGCGGCGGTTGGTGAATTCTCTGGACTCTGGTCAGTGAGCTTTCCCATGGTTAAGGAAAGTGCGGCGTTCAGAGGTTATGAAATTGGGCGACATGTTTATGGAGACGATTTGTACATGTACATGCCACATTGTTTGGTTTTCACAGATGAATAATTTTTGTTTAAAGAAAAAAGTGATTTTCAAGAAAAAAATGATGTGGCAACAATTTGTTAAAAATTAGCTTCGTTAATTAAAAAAACATTAAAATTCGCTAATTATTTTGAATAAAAAGATAAAAAAAAATGTAAATTTAATTGTGTATTTGTCATTAAGACAACATCTTTATTACTTAAAAGTGTTTTGAAAGTTTTAAAGTCACAAGTTTTCATAACAAGTAAAAAAACATTAAGTTCGGCCGGGCCGAATTTTTAATACCAATTATGACCCACAAATACCAATTTTTAGAAATATTCGTGGGAAAATGTGGCAATAATTATCAAAATACTGAATATCGGGAGGTACCGTTATATAAGGCTATACAAAAACGTGCACCTATGCAAACAATATTTCGCTAACGGAGCTAGAATTCATTATGACCAACAAATTCCAATTTTTAGACAAATCCGTGATAAAAAGTGACAAAAACCATCAAAATGCCGAATATTGGAGGATAGCGTTGTATGGAGGCTATACCAAAGCGTGAACCTATACATACAATGTTTCGGCGCACGAACTAGAAGCCATTATGACCTACATATACCAATTTCCAGACAAATCCGTGAAAAAAAATGTGGTAAAAATCATCAAAATGCCGAATATGGGGAGGTATTGTTATATGGGGGCTATACCAAAACGTGGATCTATACATGCAAAGTTTCGCCACCGGAGCTAAAACCAATTATGACCAACATATACCAATTTTTTGACAAATCCGTGAAAAAGTGTGGCAAAAATCATCAAAATGCCGAATATCAAAACGTGGACGGATATATCACATTTTCAATACCAACCATCCTAGACATAATACAAATTATTCTGCTAAATTTTGACGCTCTACGCCAAATAATGTGGGCTGCATCGTGATTTCAACAGACGGACATACGGACATCGTTAAATCGACTTAGAATTTTATGCTGATTATGAATATATATATATATATATATATATATATATATATATATATATATATATATATATATATATATATATATATATATATATATATATATATATATATATATATATATATATATATATATATATATATATATATATATATATATATATATATATATATATATATATATATATATATATATATATATGTACATTATGGGGTCTACGACGAATATTTGGGGATGTTACAAACGGAATGACAAAGTTAATACACCCTCCATTCCAAGGTGGAGGGTATGAAAATACACTTTCACTTGCAAAAACAAAAGTGATCTCAAAACGAAAAATGTTGCGTTTTACGATTTCTGAAGAAGCTAAATACAAAATTAAAATCACTTTCGTATCGAATTCGTTCATGTGACATGCCTGCAAGACTATATTTTAAAAATCACTGACATTTTTCATGTTAACTTTTTATGTTGGTGTTGTTAAGCAATAGTCTCCGCTGCCGCGGAATGTTTTTCGTTATTGAAGATAATTGCCAATATCAAGTAATTTTTACCGCGAAGGTATTATTTAATTGGAAAACTATAAAAATATATTATGCGTCGTATTGCTATAAAATGAAAATATATATCTGTTATTAGCAGTGTCTCTTCATATTTTTCCGATTACCATATACATATATTTTTTCGACGTACATATACATAAGTTAAAACAGCTAACAATTCTACAAACAAAAAAAAACAAAAATGTTGTTATATAATAAATATTTTTGTATATATATATATATATATATATATATATATATATATATATATATATATATATATAAAGCTGTAAGTTCGGCCGGGCCGAACTCTTAATACCCTCCACCATTTGTTACAAATTTGGCAATTTCCAAAAAAAAACATCCGTTTAAAATTCTGTTAAAATCTTAAAAATACCGAATGCCTATACGACGAAGTAGACCTGCATAGGCAACTTTTGTCATAAGTTACTACAATATTTAAATGCGAAACTTGAAGAAAAATCTGTTTATAATGTAGCTAAAATCATCAAAATACCAAATATAGGGGGTACCGTTACATGGGGGCTATATGATAACTTGGACCTACATGGCCCATTTACGAACTTAACATGCCTACTGGCAAAATATACATGTGTGCAAAATTTTAGCCTTCTATCTCAATTTTTTCGAAAGATAGCGTGATTACAACAGACACAGACGGACATGGCTAAATCGTCTTAGAATTTTACGCTGATCAAGAATATATATACTTTGTTGGGTCTGACATGAGTATTTCGAGGAGTTACAAACGGAATGACAATGGTGGAGGGTATAAAAAAAGATATAAAGACAGATAAATAAAAAGATATGGCCCATTTTCAAAACCAAAATTCTTTAAAACTTCTTAGTAAATTTTTATCAATTTTTTTTTTTTTTTTTTGAATGCTTCAGTGACTTTCGCAGACGGGCTGACGTGGTTAAATCGACATAGATATTATGCTTATCAAAAATATATATGTTCTACTTATATATCGTATGGCTCAAATTACCTCTTGAGCTAGCAGGAGTAAATTACGATGAGGAATATTTTTGTGCGCTCTTCGATATAAGTTTTCAATTTATGTTGCTGGCCAATTATAAAACAACGTACTTGATATAAGTTTTCAATTTATGTTGCTGAGGAAAAATATAGTGACACAACTGGGCGTTTTCATCGATATATGGTAGTTTTCTTTCCTTTGTGAAAAAACAGCTCTGTTTTAAATTGATTCATACCCAACCCTCTAACATAGACATGTCATGGTTTGCTTTAATTTTGGCAAGTTTCTAAGAGTTTGAATAAAAAGAAAAACAAAATAATCAGTCTGTTGTTGTTGTTGTTGTATCAGCAACATATATAAGGACTTTTGCTTCTGCTTTCAAATAGGCTGTAGTCAGAGATTTTCAGCTGTAAGTTCAGCAGTTTTGGCAGGACAGATAAAGAGGTGACATCTGTTGCAAAAATAAAAAGTTTTTTTTATAGAAGGACAACTCGCAATTAAATATAGACTATATGTTGAAGAGGAGAAGATACAGACAGCTTCCCAGAGGGATGCCATCCCATCAACTCGCTCCAGACGATCTGCGATCTTTGGAACTTGAAGCTTAACCAGAACTTGAAACACCTTCTACAACAACAACCATATTTATTCGGGAATCACATTTATTCTGTAAGTTTTATTTCGAACAGATTGGAGTTTTTTTAAGAAAAAATTACAGAAAAACTTGTTTCTGTAAATGTTCAACATGACGTTATTGTGAAAAAAAAGAAAGGAATTATTTATTATGTACCCAATGACATTTACGTTTTAATAAATACTTTTTTATTCTTAACATATTTGCTGAGACTACAGCAAAACGTTATTATATCTAAAAAAGACGTTAAATAAGAAACGTTATTTGCCGAACCAACTGTTCAACAGTATTATGATTCGTGGTTCAGCTATTAGCTAATAATTAATATATTTACACGATTCTGTAGTATTTGGGGGAAAATACGTCCTTCAGAAACAATGAAATAAAGATCTTAATATATATTATATGATAGATTATAGGATACAAAAAGGTGCTATTTTAATCGACCAACTGCTCTACTTTAAAGACTTTAGCGGAACAGTCTTCAGATACAGTCAGCAGCAATGATTCTTTGGGATCGTAAGCAAATGAATATACTTCAGCCAAATGCCCAGATAATGCAAATTTCTTTTGACCACTACGAGCATCGTAGGCTATAACATTTCCCTGTAATGTTGATACCAAAATTGTAAAATCGCCTATCCATTGGATTCTAAAAAAATGAAGTAAAATGTTAATATATAACAATAGTACATCTAATGGAATGTGTGAAAAAGCATACCTAGTAATGCCTTCATCAGGATGATCACATTGCGTACGTAAAGTCAATTTCGAATAGTCCCATATTGCCACTTGGCCACTTAAAGTTCCACTTGCAGCCATTCGGAAATCAGCTGAGGGAGAAAATGCAATACACTCTACAGCGCCGTCCGCATCAACCGTACCAACTGGGCCATTTGGAGTACTGAACACAATTTTACCTAAGTTAAGAAATACACTGTACATGTACAGCACTGTCGATAGGATATCTAGTTTAATTCTCACCATTTTCTCCTCCGGAAGCATATATTGGAAACTCTTTATCGCAGCTAACGGTGGTGGATCCCTCCTGATGTACCATTGGATTTTGTTCGTCAATTTCCATTACAGCTGTTGTGGACTTAATATCCCACAATTTCACAGTTCCATTATTGTAGGCCGCAAACAACTTCTTGCCATCATTGGTCAAATCACCCGCCTCACAGCGTACACCTTGTCCTGGTAGGATTTTGCAATCGCCAGCTGGCAATCGGAAAATGTAAATTTCGCCATCTTCACTGCCAGCCATCAAAACGTTGGTGGCCTTATGCCAACGCATCCATGACATGTCACCCATCGAGTATTCCCATACTTTACGTAAAGTCAAACCACCCTCCTTATCACCATTTTCGCTACCTTCTTGTATTTTGTGCAGGAATATCTCACCGGCCATATCACCACTAGCCAGATATGTACCATCGTGATTGAAATGAACTTCAATGACAGTATCTTTGTGTTCCGTGATTTCGTGTATCACTTCCCCGGTATTTCGATTCCAAACAAAAACTTTGTCATCTTCTCCTCCGGTGGCACACAAATCATTTTGAGGATGAAAAGCACAGGCAAACACTGGGGCTGCGTGTTGTTGGAAAGTGTATATCGCATCATCCTGCACGGGAGATTTTCTTTCATCTTCCTCATCGGAACCGTATTCACCACTTCCCAAACGGGCTTCTAATTCCTCCAATGTAACTTCCTCCATTTCTAAGTCATCTTCGTCCTCTGGTGGAGGATCATTATCCAAGTAGATTTCTTCTGCATCTTCATCGATGTCTGCGGGTCTAGGTGGAGTATTCTGACGCATTTCTTATTTTTATGCACAAAACTTTCAAAACTATATTAATCAGCACACGATGTGCTTGCTGCTTGTTTATGTTCTGTTCGCCATCTGTCAACACGTGTTTTGTAGAGTTGTGTCTGTAACAGAGATGGGAAATCAAAAATTGTACAATGTACTGAAATGGAAATTTATTTGAAATTGTACTTTTTGTAAATTCAAATTATTTCATATCGTTTTACTCATGGACCCAGAAAAGGTATTAGCACAAATTGTATAGTTTTGGGAAGGTAAGAGTGTCAGCAATAATTTGGCATCAATTTGGCCGACACCCATAATGGGCCTTTTTCGACTTTTTGGCGTTTTTATAAAAAATCCGGGTCCAAAAAATCAATAATTTGACTATAACTTCCGAACCGCTTAAAAATTACCCCATCATGTGACCACTTGCCAGATTGGTGTTTTCATACGATACCTATATTGTATATATCGGGTGAGTGGATCCGGTCCAGTCCGAGTCTAAAACCCGGATTTTCGGGTCAAAAATTTGGGATCTCGGGTCTGCCCCCAAGAACAAAATAGTTTCCCGGGTAAAAATAACTACCTCCAGATAAAACTTATATTTGTTCCGAAATTTGTTTAATTTTGAAAAATTTTAAATATATGATTTCATGACGTTACCTTCTGAATATTACAATGGATATGAAGTAAAAACAAAAATCACTGATATCTTTTATTCCCAATTGTTCAGATTTTATATCCTACACCACATAGTGGTAAGGGTATTATGTCTTTGTGTGTTTGTTTGTAACATGGAGTAGGAAACAAGATTGACCCATACTTCCTTTTGGTGATCAGCATAGAATCACACTTTAAGTCGATTAATGCATGCCCGTTCGTCTGTCAGCCGTCTGTCCATGTATTTTTGTAAACAAAGTGCAGGTCGCATTTATTATTCGATTGAGATGAAAATCGATCCAAATTTAGATATAGCTCCCATATATATCTTCATCCGATTTCGGGTTAATTGTGCACCAAATGGTTAATATCTGTCAAAAAGTCCTGAATTTGTATACATCCGACCGAAATCAGTCTAAAAACAAGTACATCAAATTTGAAAAATTGCTTCAAATATATATAAGTCCCTCATATTCGTAATATGCATTCGACAACAATGATATTTGGTACCAGATATCTTATAAAGCTCGGAAATACCTATGCCAAATTTTACCGAGAACTGGATATAACATCCATATATATCCTCAATCCGATTTCAGGTTTATTATGCAAATAATGACTAATATCAACCCAAATGGGGTAAATTTCGGGATGTACGTTTCCATTTTGTGCAACTTGGCTCCGATATATATATTATTTTAATATAGTCTTTCCCCAAGTGATATCATGCAATCTATAGCAAACTATAACTGCTCTAACGCCAAATGATGATAAGTGGTATGATCTACTTCTAATAAATTCTTTTGTTACGGGAGCTCTACTGAAATGCATAGTGGTGTAAAGTATCATATGGTCGGCCCCGCCCGACTTTTAGCTTTTAAACTTTATTTACATTTATTCAAGTTCTCAGGCGAATCCAAATTATGTTGACAGAAAATGTTGTTATCAGCTGGTGTTACTTGGCGACCAAGGTAGATGTACTAGGTAATCGCATCAGCCCAGCTGACGGCACCATTAAATGTCAAAACCAATTGTTGTAATGAAGAATTCGCCCTAAATGAATGCAACAACAAATTTGTTTATGTTGTCTTCCCTAAAAGTACCTTTTTATAATATTTTATTTATTTAATTCATACTTAATACTAATGCCTCCAAGGCCAATTAATTGTATTAATAAGGTACTCAATTATTAAACAAGTTATAAAAGGCCCACAGCCAAAACTACAAAAAAAGTAAAAAAATGAGTCAATAGAGGCAAAATAACCAACAACAAGCAATTAAATTTTTTTTAAGAAAGGTGAACAATAAAGGCGACTATAAAAATAATTTAAAAATTATTATTTAACAATTAAAAAAGAGTAAAATGAAGAAAATAAAAGCTCAAAACAACGAAAATAAAACTAATTGGGATGAATACCAAATAATATTTCAAATAATTTAAGAGCATGTTTAGATTGAAACCAGTAAAAAAATTAAAAGAAAATGAAGGAAGGCGGTTAGAATGGAGTGCGGCTTTAAGAATTAAGCTAGCCTCAACATCTAAGATTCCCAAAGCACATCACGGGAAGTAGTGCAAGAATTTGACTCTTGCCATTTGCAGTTCCGGAAAACTTTCGGTTTAAATCAGTAAAATATAGTCATTATAAGTTTCTTGGTTTAAAAAATATCGCAATATTACAATTAATACTTATTTTACTCTTATTAAGTTTTACAATAAAAAAACGACGTTCGTTTACGACGAGAGGCACACAAAATAAAATGTAAACAAACACCTCGTTTCTGATTGGTTGAAACAAATTTGCCGCAACTTTTAAATGTCATGGCGAATCTATGTTTTTCGCCTTAGATGCCAATTTTGACATTTGAGGGGACCACAAAAGTTGCTTTGTTGTAGCAATTCGCCGATGCGGTTACCTGTTAGATCTACCTTGTTGGCGACCTTATAATCACGGTAAAATTAAGAAGGTAGTCATTTGAAATAAGAATATCCATCTCTGCAGTTCCTATAATTTACTTTGTCAAATTTCATTGAATAAAAAAGGGGTTCCCAGCATGGTAGAAGACTACACTTAGTGCATCAACTTTTTTTCAAAAATGTTCGATTTTTTTAAATTTTCTTATTTGAAACAATTCGGAGGTTGTTATGATATACACTTCTCAACTATTTTTACATATTTTAACAATTTTTCATTCAAAATTTTCAATTTCAAAATTTGTTTGACCGTTCATTGATCCTGCAGCTGTGTCGATGCGACTGCAAGTTTTGTTGATACGGCTACCTGTTCATATATTTAAACTGTGATCTAAAATTCGAACTATATATATTTTTCATTTTATTGAGAAATCCGTTATAATAACAAAAATAATTAGCTGCGTAGACGTGTTGGGATTCTCAAGCAAAATTACCATTTATTCCCTTACACAACTTGCTAAATTGTTCACAGAAAAAAATTATCAAAGTGTAGTTTGTACGTGACTTTTTTATATTCAAAATGGAATGAGCGTTATTTTCGCAATTAAAAAATAAAAATACATTTGTTGTGAAAAAATAATTTTTGAAAAAATGCATACTTCTTCATGTTGCACATTGCAATTCTTCCATGTTCATAATTATTATCATTATGTTGGCATTGGAAGATTGATGATGATAAAACTTCCACCGAAATAGTTAATAAGATTTACAGTATATTTAAAATCGTTTCCTTTTACCTCCGGCTACAATCATTTTATTATCTTTTGCAAACTTCAAATAATTGTACACATGAAACATTATAAGAAAAAAAAAACATAATTAATAATCGAAAATCTAATGGGTAAAATATCATTTATGACTCCGTTGATTTGATAGGAATGCCAAATGACCTTTCGGACATTTATTTGCATAATGACCCTTGTGACCGCACTTGTAACATGTAATTTCTTCCAACGGCTTCGACATTTTTTGATACATAGGTCCGTTGTTTGTTGGTCTAGAATTTGAAGTTGGTGGTTCTGCGTTCTCATTTGTACCCGTGTTTGTTGATGCCGATTCCTGTGAATCGCGTTGTTGGTTACTTTGATTTGCTTGGTTTGGAGGTGCTGCATAATGAGGAAATCGGGGATTAGGTGGTTGCCGATTCATTTGTGCATCAATTGTATTGTCTGGGTTGTTTTTACACAATGATGCTTTATGACCAAATTCACCGCAGAAATGACATGTAGGAATTTTCTTTTGGAATTGATCTTTGCTTGCTTCTGCGCTGGGAGGTAATTCGAAACGGGGATGCATATGTTTACAGTTCCAGCCATTGGGACAAAAGCCTGCCAAGTAGTTCATACACAGAACTCTTCGAACATGGCGATGCCTGCAATGCGGACCATGTCGGCAAAACCCCCGATCATACCAAGGACAATCTTTAATTTTACTTTCCGGATCAATGTGCAGGAACGGACATTCTTTGTTGTGGCAGGCGTTAAATCGAGAATAGAAGTAGCATTCGGGCATTTTCTTCATATCAAATTCGTGCAGGAACTCGCACTGGTCACCTTTCTTGCAAAGACCACGCAGCCAATGTTTGCAAACGATAGTACGATCTCCACGGATGTGACGGAACGGACACATGGCTCCTTTCGTACACTCTTCTCCATTTTTAGAGTTAAGAAATTGACAAACAGCGGCCACAGATTTGTCCATACCAAAAAAGGGAAGTGGTATCGCTCCAACCTGTTCCGTTAGGTCCCTCTCCACTTTAAAGTATATGTGATTGACATTGGCCAATATCATATCCATGATTGATGTTATAAGTTTGCACCGAACACCTACTTAATCAAAAATCTCATGCACAAACAAAACAAACTGTTCAATCTACACAGGAATGGTGAATATGCCTGTCAAAAAAGAAGAAGAATGAAAAGATGTGAATGTTGTTATGCTCAACTTTGTTGGTGGCATTGTTCGCGTCTGCCGATTATGTTGTAAAGATGGGTTCTTTTTCTGTAAGACCCGATGTAAATACTTATATTTCATCGACTTACCCACGTCAAGCAACACTCACTTACAAACAAATTGAACTACTCTCGAAAGGGAACCCTAATGAAAGACGTCCCCAACGAAACGAATATGAAGGCCAAAAAGGAATATTTGATTAAAGAATAAACAGAAAGCAAAATCCCGGCTTACTTTATTGTTTACGAATGAGACATGAGGAAAACTGAACACATTCACTAAAGGAGCGTGGAACTAGCCACAAATGATTTCAAAAGGAACAGGATAGGGATCTAAAAACTTCAACTTTCCCAACAAAACTGCTGTTTTTTCACAGAAGAAACGGTTGCGCAAAAATATGCTCACTGAATGAACGAGGAGACTACATTTCATAGTAGAAGAATACAGGTAGTTGCATTGACACGGATGCTGGGACAATGAACTGTCAAATAAATTTTGGAATTGAAATTCTTGAATAAAAAACTATTTAGTTTTGTAAAAATTGTTGAAAAGGGCATATTATAATAACCTCCGACTAGTGTCGTATAAGAAAACATCTAAAAATCTACTTATATTTGAAAAAAAAAACGTTGATGCTCCTAAATTGTTGTGTTTATTTGATAATTAACAACTTGCTGTATTTTTTTAAAGTAATTCTGACATTAAAATCCATACACGTAGACCTCTTTACTTGCAAATTATACAATTTAGCCTTAAAAAATGTATGTTTATATATATGGGCAAAAATTAGACAAAAACTGCATAATTATGTAGAATTGTTCCGTGTGGTATTTTCAAAATGAAACGCCACCTTTTTTAAAAATTGGCTCAAAAAATAACAAAAACACAGTCATGCAATCACAAGTTTACAATTTTTTTTTCAAAATTATTCATTTGACAACATTTCATTGTCAAAATGTTTATATATAAATAAATTGTACATTCACAAATCAGAGATGGAAATCTTATTTCCATGCAGTGAAATTTGACAAGGTAAATGACAGAAAATGCAAAGATGGAATGCTTATTTGAAATGACATTACCTTCTTCATTTTACCATGTACAATTTTTTCGTGTGGTATTTTCAAAGTAAAACGCCATGGTATAATTATTACAGGTAATAGCAAGTCCCAGCTGATTTGACTTTATAGTAATACTAGTGTCAAACTCGATATGACGTTTTATGATTTAATTACATTTCTTGATATACATTGTAGTGCAATGTGAACATATTTTTGCCTAATAATAGAAAAAATTGCCGTTGTACTTAACAAAACGCCAAAAGCGGTGGTTCGGAAACTTGTTTGTTAAGGAACAGCGACACCACGTTAGATAATATATTCGAATATTTCATGTTTTCTAAAATGTATGTAAAGGAGCAGGTACATAAAAAGCTTGAAGTCGTGGCTAGGCATATTAATGTCAAATTATAAAGGAAAACGGCGGCAGGATTTGAGTGCGGCTTTATAATTCCTTTATGAAATGTCGCAAAATATGCCCAGCCATGACTTCAAGCTTCTTATGTACTTGCTCCCTAAGCTGACTGGTTTCAACTTGAAAGGGATGTTGCCTTTTCCACGATTTTCTAGCGATTGCTTGAAGTGTTGAGAGATTAATACCAACAGCTAACAACTATATATTCAGGGGAATGATGAGAAAGCATTAAAATTACATATTTTAAGAAATATTTTTCTGCATTTTCAATTTATTAATCCAAATTCCAAAAATGTGTATTTATACCCTACAACACTATGTGTTGTGGGTATTATAAGTTTGATTGGGCCAGAATTTATGTAACACCTCGAAATATTGGTTTCCCATATAGGAAAGTATATATGGATTTTCCTAGCTCGCCGAGCTGAGTCGATCTAGCTATGTATGTCCGTCCGTCCGTCTGTCCATGTTAATTTGTAATCACGCTACAGGTCACAATTATGGCCCGATCCTTACGAAATTTTGCACGAAGGTGGGGTTAGAGTCAGAATAGAAGCCTGTTTCTTTTGGAGATGATCGCCAAATGTTTAGGGGTTGAAATGGACCAAATACTGAAAAATTGTCGGATTTTGGTCATCGGGTGGTCATCGGATAATATTTAGCGGGTAAAATAGACCATATCTTTTGTGTTGAAGAAATTGAAAATTTTTCATTAAACCGCGAATATTTAAATATCTCTCTAAAGATGAAAATATTGATTTTGTAATATTTTCTCATATTTTTTCAATTTTGTCATATTTTTGGCATATTTTCATTTTGAATTAAACATTTGGTAATATTTCTACAGCTAACAAAACTAAGTAGTTAGGATATCAGGATATCATATACAGATCGCATTTATGGCCCGATCCTCATGAAATTTTGCATGGGGATAAGATGAGGGTCAGAATAGAAGCCTACTCTTTTTGGAGATAATCGCCATATATTTAGGGGTTGAAATGGACAAAAAAACTGCAAAATTGCCAGCAAGTCGAAATTATCGCCCGATCCTCACGCGCATTTGAATGGAGGTTACCGGACATTGCAAAAGCCAAATAGTTTTGGATGGCCATCCAAAAATATTCAATGTGTGAAATAGTTGCCAACTTTTGTAGACAAAATACGGAAATATCCATTGCAGTGACTTTTTGGAGAATTCACAAGTACAGGAAAGACGCACTTCTGACTATTTCGTTAAGGCTGATTTCGTTGAAGAATATAGTCAAATGTCTGTATCTCATATAGATGCCTTTTAGTCAAAACCCAATAATAAATGTTAATCTTTTCCCACTTCTGAGAGATTATAGGTCTTTGGGAAATATTGGTTCCAGATCTAGGAAGACCATTTACGTGCAACATCTACCAATAAATTGGAAATGAGCAAATTAGTTTAAGTTGCTATTATTCGAAAATTAGAGAACGAAACCTGACGAAACCTGGTTTTCTTTTATTATTTGTCACAATATCTTGTGGAATTCTTTCGAGTATCTTGCCTATAGCCTCGACTGTAGCCTTTGCTTACTTGTTTTGAAATTAAAATAATTTATTGAAAATTAATTATTTTGTTCACATTTTTGGACACTGACACTTATATTAATTACAAAAACAAATTTTTATGTGGTTGTTGTTACGATTGTTGTACAACAACACTTGTTGTTACCTCTATTATTCTACCATGCTAAAACGCAAACTTTTTAAAAATCACACACTTTTACATGTTTTTTATTTTCTTTGGGCATATAGAATTAAAATTTGACAACATGTCATGGTCAAAATGTACATTTATGAATCCATTGTATATACACAAATCAGAGATGGGAACATTTTCTCAACGAAGTAAAATTTGTCAACGTAAATTATTGCAAATGCAGATATGTTGCCTTCCTTATCTTACCCATGGTAGAATTAAGAAGGTAAAGTCATGTCATCATATGTTTACATTTTTGTCAAAATTATTGGTTTGACAACATCTCAATGTCAAAAATTATATTTATAAATCCATTGTATACACAGAAATCAGAGATGGAAACCCTATTTTTATTCAGAACCCTATTACAGAAAATGCAGAGATGAAATAACTTTACACTCTTAACTTTACCAGGGATTTTTTTAAAATCAAGAAGGTAAATTCATTTCAAATACGCATTCCCATCTCTGCATTTTCTGTAACTGAGCTTGTCAAATACAATTCACATGAACTGTCACAACAAAAACAGACTTGTTTATTTACATTTATAAACTATTGTGAAAAAAACTGAAAGTGGAGCCCTGCATGCAATTTTGCCGAATGTGGTGTGTAAACGTCTGTGTGTGGAATTAAAATTGTGCCGACAGGGAAATATATAACAAATATTAAAAATGGTCGGCTCCACTCGATTCGCTCAAAATGTACCTCATAGAAATAATGGCTTAAGTACATTTGAAGTCTATCTACCCATGCCCTTAATCCGAATTTTTGGTCTGAATCGAATTGTTTTCAAACAACAAAATATCTGGTATAAAGAATACATAGAATGGACCACTCCTTCTGGCACATCATTCACACACAACGGACGCTCATGAACATTCTCATGATTCTTCTCAAACTTACTGTTTCCAGAAAAAAAACGCCCATTATATACACAAGTTTGGAACCGCGTACGTTTACCAATATAGTCCGAACTTGAGCCAATGAACTTTTTTAAATTGGAAGACCATCAATATTAAAATTTAATTCAATGTCGCCAACGTATTTAGCCTTTGAAAAAAAATCGGGCAAGCAGTCCTCCAGTCAATAGTGCACATACTCACGTCCAGCCATGGTAGAAAAATATAGGTAGACGCATCGACACAGCTGCTGGGACAATGAACTGTCAAACCAATTTTGGAATTGAAAATGTTGAATGAAAAGTTATTTAAATTTGTAAAAATCGTTGAAAAACACGCATTATAATAACCTCCAAACGACGTTGTATTAGAAAACATATAAAAATCTACTTACATTTGAAACTAAAATAATTTTGACATATCAATGCTCCCAAGCGTTGATGCATCTACCTGTATTTTTCTACCATGCGTCCTGCAATTGACATAAATGGAGTATCTCTAGGGGGTTTTTAATGACCTAGATTCTTGCCTGCCCCTGAAATATTAATTAATGATAAATTGATTAAACAGAATTCTACAATATATATTTCACATATTTTAAGATAATTACATTTTTGTACAAAATTCTTTTTTTTAATGTTCTTTTTGTTTTGTTTTTTCTTTTTTTTTTTTTTTGCTTCAGTTTATTATTCGTTATACCACATTGTTTGGTTTTGTTTGAAGAAAAAAACTGATTTTCAAGAAAAAAAAATGATGTGGCAACACTTTGTTAAAAATTGGTTTCGTCAATTAAGAATCCATTAAAATTTGCTAATTATTTTAAATAAAAATATAAAACATGTAAATTTAATAGTGTATTTGTCATTAAGACAACTTTGTTATTACTTAAAAGTGTTTTGAGAGTGTTTTAAATTCACAAGTTTCCATAAAAATACAATTTCACTTGCAAAAAAATAATATCGCATACGAAAAATTTTCAAATGGTAACGGACGAATATGTCATTGAGGAAAAAGGTGTCTATAGCATCGTAATGTGTTCTGCTCGCTTTTGTTATTATTCTGCTTGTTTATTACTATTTGGTATCTTTGCTTTCTTCGCAATTGTTAGAAAGAGAAGAATCTCGATTCGATTTTTTCTCTCACAGCAATAGAACAATATAAAACTTCATAATTTTGCGAGCGAATTAATGGTGGGTGTTTTCTTTTCTTTTGGTAATTTTTTAGAATTTTCTGTGTAAAAAGGATTTAAACAGATTTGCTATAAATGTGTATCGGTGAAGTGTTTTATTCGAGCATAAAATGAAACGTCGTTTATCAAATATTCATAAAAAATAGCAAATGGAAAAATTCGCAAATCAAGTGCACCAGACAAAGGAACAAAAATGCCTTTACAATAAAAGATGAACAAAAATGATGACAGAGACCTAAAGAATCTATCCAATTGGCAAGTGAAGTGTATGTTCTTTATTTGGCGTGAATGTGCAAACTCTGTCGGTATAAATGTGTTTGTGCGGATATGTGTGCCTCGTTATGGTAGTGCAAGCGTATGTTGAAGTTGTCCGAGTGGACAGGACAGAATAAAAGGTGGTTGAAGTCGTATCATATTTGGAGTTTAGTGGTCTCCGTTGCGATGCCATCTGTTTGGAGGTGACGATTTTTTCATAGAATTACGTTTTCCTATTCAAGGTGGTGTGTGCACCTGTAAACACCTGCTTTTGCAATTTAAAGTAAACAAAAGCAAAAAACGATGACTGAAAGTTATACAAATTATTCGGAATTTTTGAAAACTGTCATTAAGAAACGCACAGACTTAGAAAGTTTTTAATTGTTAACAAATCATTTATTATTAGTTAATACATTTTTGGTCAGTTTTGTAATTATCTGTGGTCAGAAAGTGTTTTTTTTTTGTCTTTCACTCACACACGTTGGAAGAAGAATTCTCATTTAATTTTTATCTTATTGGATTTATCGAAGAGAAAAAGAGAACCATTGGAACGTTTTCAAACAAAATGAGAGAGAGAGAGAAAATAATTGTTTTGTGAGTGGTGTAAAAACAACGGTTATCGTAAATGTCATGAAGAACAGCAGTTGTATAAAATAAGTAAAATTAAAATTAAATCTTAGAAGATGAAACTTGAAATGGTAGATGACACAACTTAAGTTACCTAGCCCCCATACAGTAAAGCATTAGGAACTGTTTAAGTGATTATTGGAATACTTTGTATAACGGCCTGAGATAGGGGCTCAGAACTTTCACAAGTACCTATTTTTACAGTCCTCCAAATCATTGCAAAATTTATTGGGTACCAATTGCAAATAGGCCTGCGGAGTTGGAATCAGGAATTATTGCTAAAGTCGAAGACGAGAAGAAATCAACTCTGACTACATGTAATACGTTAAATTCTGTCATTTTTCGGCTTAACTCTAGATTAGGAAAAACTCTTTTTTCAGAGGTAGGTATTTGCACCCTGATATATAGGTATCATTTGAAAGCTAATGAATTTACCTACCTCACACTAAACCATAAAAATTTCTACAATATGTGTTATTATCTTTTTTTAGATCTAGAGATATAGGCCTTTGAACCCGGACAAGCCGATTATGTTCAACATATTGAACTGGTGTTTTCAGTATAAGAAACTTTACTTCGTATAGCCGGTGTTGATATAACAAGAGGAGAGAGATAATAACGCAAATTTCGCAATGGTTGGAATGTAAGCTATAAACTAATAAGTATTTTATGGACTCCCAAAATGGGGCCTTTTTCGACTTTTGGGGAATATTTTAAAAATTCCGGGTCCAAAAAATCAATAATCATGTGGTCATTTGTTGGTTAAGTATTTTCATTATATATAGTGTCCAATACCTACCGCGAGAAAATATTAAAAAAATCGGAGAGTTTTTACTAAACTAGAGTTGTTCCAATTTTTCCAATTCAAGTTTTCCTGGTGGGTCAACTTTCTTGGGGGATAGAAGTGGAGTAGACGCTTTTGGCAAATTTATTTCTTTTCGAAGAGATGGTAGTTGCCGTCGCTCAGTTGAGTTTTGCAAATTCAGTTCGTAATATAGATAAATCCAAAAATATCGAATTAAATGTACAATACTGGATTAAATTTAATTTTAGATACACAAAAGTGCCAATTGCGGAAAGGTGGAGTTAAAGTACTTTTAGACCAAAATTTTTATCAAAGGACGACGTAACATGGCTTAAGTCAAAGTTTTTGCTAATCTCCATTTAAAGTATTTTATAGTTACAAATGTTACAACGTAATTATGTAAAACACACACATACGATTAAAAAGCCAAAGTCTGTTCAAAATGGCTTGAAAGCGGATACATCTCATCATTTTTTTTTCTTACGGAAGTTTTTGCTTACAAAACATATGGGTTTTTCAACTATAGAAACACTAGAAAAGATGTATCGTGTACTGAGAAAACGAAATGTAACTTTTTTAATAAAATATGTTCATATTTGTTTCTTATTTCGAACATAATTTCGTATCAGAAAAAGTTAGCTTCGTTGTAATGGGAAAAATTCTTCTCAGAATGGTGAAAGAAGCGAAAAATTTACGAATTACCCTATTTGTAATTGAAAATTTGATTTTTTTATTCCGAATCGATTACTTGATACTTACGGTCAATTATTTAACAGCACTAAATGTTATCGAATACGATTTGTTCTCTCTTACTCTCTTTTAAAAACAGACTACCAAGTTGAAGAGAGCAAATTGTGTTATTGGCTTTGACACAACACAACTTGGCTAAAACGACGAACTATAGAGCTGGTCGACCACTATTGTTTCACACTCAAGTGCCTTATATCGACAGTGACGCATACACACGGTACGACGGACCACAGTCGGCCAACAAAAGGTGCGGATAATACGTTAACAAGAATAGAATAATAAAAGAAAATCTAAAAAACAACAAAACAAAGTCGTCAAATGCTAAGTTCATTATCATTGTAACACACACATACTTTCATATATACATGTGTATGTATGTATGTAGATGAAAATCAAACACAAAAGTCAGCCAGTGAAAAGCAGAAAATTCCCAAAAAATACCTACCAAGAAAAAATCAATTTTTTGAGATTTCGGAAATAAAAATAACATATAAAGCGAGAATAGTATTGTGCGTGCAAACGTGCGTTTCTTATTTGGACAGTTTAGTGCCCTTGGTCGCGATATATGTGTCGATCGAGATCGATTCGCAACAACGACAACGACGGTACGACAACGGGCGGTTCATTGAAATCGTAAAGAATATTCGACTAGATTTTGCCAGTCAGCCTGTCTTGTTTTGTGGCCTGCGGTGGCCCCTTAGTGTATTTGGCGTTAAATATTAAATCGGCGCACATGATATGGTGGTCAATGGAATGAGAATTTGTTGAGAATTTGTTGAGAATTCGCCTTGAACAAATAAAAATACATATTTCTGATTTGTTGTTGTTTTTATGAATGTGAATTTGTATTTAATTAATAAAAATTACTACTATATGAAGTGAAATCGAAATAGAATTGTTATTCTTGATGGTCGTTACGCCAAATGTGTTTAAATTCCTTTTGAACTGAACTGTGAATGCAATATTTGCCAATTGCTTAAAACCCGAACAAAAAACTAGTGTTCTTTTGATGATTTTTTCCTATGTTTAAATGATTAACGAGTTTTTAATTTCTAAATGGATTCCAGTATATTTCCCATTTCCGGTCCAACTAAGCAATGAACATCCACCAACACTAAAGCGACATCTATGAATGGCTAGGCCAGGCTAATGGTTCCTAACAACAGACGAGCCTGATAGCAGCAATGTTGCTGGACGAGATGTTGCATAAACATTGAAGGACCAAAACCACAAATTGTTGCCAACAACCCCAGACAACAACTCTACTAACTGTATTCGAAACGGATTGTCTTAAATTAAAATAAACGAACGAATTAATTGGATACATATAAGGATAACAGAATAAACCGGAAAGCATATCAAAAGAAATCGAAACCATTTAGAAAAACCCCCTAAGAACTATACACAGGAATAGAAAAGGATTTGTGGCTAATTTAAGTGATACGACTTAACTATTCACACACACATATTACAATAGTCACATTATAAGACTAATAAACGCACAAAGGATATTTCACGCCAAACCCTGGACACATCTACATTATTCATACACAAAGTATATTCTCAGAGAGGCCAACACAAGTCAGACTAGGATCTTTGCAATCCATTAAAAACCCCCCATCAAAATATGACATCATATGCCACATTACGCGACAATTTAAGGTCGCGTGAGGAAGACCTAACATCCCATTCTAATTCTGCAACACCCTCGACTCCACCACCAGAAGATTTAGCCACGGCGGCACGTACGAAAAAAATAGCCGCACCCCTGACCCCTGATTCCTTTTCGGAAAGTGAACGCGAGAAAATGGACTCAACGCCGGAGAATATAAAAAAGATCGATGATGTCATTAATGATCACCATCTACATCATTCAAATCAACAAGCGGACGGTGGTTTGTCGCCCCGTTCAGAACGCTATTCATCAAGTTTTGTACCAATTGGCCTGGCTGCAGCTGTAGACGATTCAAATGCTAAACTCTGTCCAAAAGGTAATAATAGAAGGAAAATAATGTTTTATGCAAATCAGCAGCACTAGCTGCTGCTTTTTGTTATTGTTGTTTGAGCAGTTTGAATAACACTAGGTTTTTCTATTTTGTTTTTGTCGTATGTATTTTGTGTCTGTTAACAAATTTATCGTTATTTGTTGTGTGTTTTTTTGCTCTGCCATTCCTGTTCATTTGTTGCTATTGCCAATTTTGAGTTGGCTTTTTGTAACTAGACTATTGTTGACTATTTCTCAGCCTTATACACATATATTATTTCTAATGTAAATTACCTATGCATGCCACACTCACACACAGCCCCACCATTATTGTCAGTTGTCAGTCTTTTGTTACTGTTTCAGTTGGAATTTCAATCCTTATTTCTTTTTGTCTTAAAGCTGTCATTGTGAAATTGAAAGGGCTAAGTAGTTAGTTTTGTTGTTAGGTATGTAAATACCAGTGGGTTTTTGTTTGCAGATTAACTCTTGGTTTATTTTAATTTAATAATATTGTGAGTCTGTTTGAAGGTGCCTACTTTCAGTATTAAATGTGTGTAGTTTCAAAGAGGGGGCATTATAAAACGACGACTTTTTTAGAAAACCCATATTGCTATTAAGAACGCATTTGAATTTTCAATTATATTTCTAAGGATTATCATAAGAGAAGGGACTGGTTTGAGAAAAAATCGATAATTAACCCGCTGCAGTTAAAACCATGATTTGCTCCAAAATACCCAAAAATAAGACTGGAATCTTGCATTTTTATTTTTGTGATACTGATTGTTTGCATTTTGACAACAATTATTGCATATTTTGTTTGTCATGAAATTCTCTTACATAAGGTAACTGAACTTATTTATTAGAACAAAATTGTAGATAAGATTATCAGCAAATACTAATTAAAACAAGTAGAGGTGATAGCAAAAAGAATAAACAAATGAATAGCAATATATGGTGTTAAACAACAACACTAGTTTTTATATTTGCCTATAATTGAGTTATTGATTGCATCAGATCGTTATTTCTAATTAAGCCCACTTTCTCTGGACATAATTTCTTTTTATACCCTCCACCATAATATGGAGGGTATATTAAGTTTGTCATTCCGTTTGTAACACCTCGAAATATATATTTTAGACCATGATGATCTTGATCAGCTTAAAATTCTATGTTGATTTAGCTATGTCAGTCCGTCTGTGGAAATGGGTACTAGGTTCGAAATGGATACTACAGCCTAAGGCAGAAAGTTGTCTGTGCAGGTCCACGTCTTCGTATAGCCCTCATATAACGGTACCTCCCTATATTCGGTATTTTGATGATTTTAGCGACATTATTCACCGATTTTTAAGTTAAGTTTCACATTTGAATATTGTAATGGCTTATTGCAAAAGTTACCTATGCAGGTCCATGTCGTCGTTTAGACCCTGATATTAAAGCTACATTCGGAATTTTTAAGATTTTAACAGAATTTTTAACGGATTTCATTGTTTTTAGAATTGCCATTTAATCAATATAAATTGTAAAAATTGAAAAATGGTATGACTTCCGTGTACCATTCCTAACTTAAAAAAAATATAAAATAGAGTAGTAGCATAGAGGAGTTCTAAATCACTTCATTGGATAAATGTTAATAAGCTGGATAATCAACTCAAGCATTGTTAACTTCCAAACTATGGATCTTCTATTTTGTATTTAATTTTGTCCTGTGATTCAAAATACAGCTGAACGGCATTGATTATACACAAGTGGATCTAAGATTAAGATTAAAATATAGATACAGGTGTTTTCTGCGCAATATAAACATCGACGACTCACAAAAGCTCAATTATAAAGATTGTTACCTGAACCTGGTGAATAACCTTGGTAGTAAGAGATAAATTCATTATAACAGAACATGACATTTTTAGATACGTAATTTCGTTAAACGTTTTTGCATTTCCGATCATAGCAAAATATCGGTGTAAAGTGTGTAAGGCAAGGCACCCAGAAATCTAGTAACAATTTAACTCTGTTTTCCTCAACATGATATATATAAGTATTACTACTGTAGACTATATGTGGATGTGAAAATTTTCGGTGGGTGAAAAATGAAAACTAAAAGATAACAATTTTCTCTCTGCTTGTATTTTAACATTTTCATAAAAATTTCGGTTGAATCAATGTCATATCAAACATAAAATTCAGTTGTATGACTTTGAAGTTGTTATGCAATGTGTTTGACTGTTGTGTTTGTTTAACTAATTATTTATGGGTTGGTTAAATATTTTGGAACTGAAACCAAAATACACGAAATTTTTAGCAAGCAATGATGTAATGACTGACACCGATGAATAATAGTGAGTAATGCCATTTTTAGCCAGTTTAAAGTTTTAAACATCACAACATTGTTTTAATATTTTAACTGAAACATGATTTTGTGCCCAATAATCTTGACTAACTAATGAGTTAATTCATTTAATTGAAGAAATATAGAATAGTTTTTAGTTATTGTTTTTTTTTTGTATTATTCATTCTATACATGTCGTTTAAGCTAATAACCGCAATTGTCCCCGCTTTATTTGAATATTGTGTGCGTATACCACCCCACCACCATTTATGGACGCAACTGTTTATTTGTATTTGTTTGAATTGTTGTTGTCATTCGAATATCTCCCATTACTTAATATGGTTCACATACTCAAATTGAAATAAGGTAATCGTCCAGAGCCAACGAACGGCATTCATTACCGCCACTTGTTTTATTCTAAGCGACCAACATTCACACATATGTCTGTCAACCTGTATTGTTCGTTTCGTTGTTGCATCTTCTTTCATGCGTACACTTTTGGTCATATGTATTTATGTGCAGGTATACATTGGGTTGGTTCGAATAAAGGCTAATCACATTTTTCTATTGAACAGAAATGTGAAAAAAGGGAATGTTCTGGAGAATATATTAAACTTGTCATTCTCAATTACACATTTTTATACACTCTACCTTGACAATGTTAATATACCCTCCTTATATTAACATTGTCATTCGGTTTGTAACATCCCTAAATATTTGTCGTAGACCCCATAAAGTATATATATTTATGATCAGCATAAAATTCTAAGTAGATTTAACGATGTCCGTCTGTCTGCCTGTATGTCTGTTGAAATCACGATACAGCCTACATTATCAAGTGGTATCTTTGCACTCGTGTCCTTTTAGGAGTGTACATATGGGGATGATTTTTCAGTGGAATAATATTTTCCTCCTTTGCTTGCTCATAGATCTTATAATGAGTTTTAACGGTCCTTTAGATTCCATACCGCAGTTTTGCATGTTTTAATTCGGTTTGAGGGCCAGGGGCAGCTGGTAAGATGAGAACTTCAGTCGGACATTTATCTAGATAGAATGGCGAAAATGTCAAGAACAGAGGATTGTCATCGGAAAGATAAAGATAATGTTTAAATCCAAATGCTTAGTAAAGAGAAGTTTTTCACAAAACTTAATATAAAATTCTTAGAATATCCCTTCCCATCCGCCGAATCATTTGTGCCTCTTACTGCATATCACAAGAAATCTTTAATCACATATATAAATTCAATTAGTATACAATAGTCAAAAGGGCTGTGATAGTGTCTTTGTACATCTTTTCTTTTTATGTTTATATGGTGCCAGATGGTCCACAGGCCGTTTACAAGTTATCCTCGCTTTGAATAATTTAAAAATGTCGCTTTATAAAAAGTGATCGAGATCTATATATGTCCAAAATGTAAAAAATTGCCGCATTGTTTGAAATTGAATAAAAACATCACGTTCAGGATTGATTGGTGTTCCTGTAAAGTCCTTAGCCTTACGCAAATCGTATAATATATTTTAATGTATTTTAAAGAATTTGTCGTATTTGCATTCGACTTGTGAAATATTATTAAATAATCTGATGGGAAAAAAAGTCGAACTTAAGTTGTTTGCTCAATATGAAAGAAAAAACTTTTTCAATCTATTCTCTTTCTAAGCTCCGACAACAAATATTCCGAATGAACCACGTTTAATCAACGGCTATTTTATTTTCCCACAAGAGGGATAATAAATTAGTTAAAAATAACTCACTTGTAAACAGATACCCACAAGTTGTGTAGCACTCTAATGTATTCCGAAATAAAGCTGTACATTCACTGAGTTGTCACTTTTTTTCGTAATTATTTCGTTGTTATTGTTCGTACGTTTAAAGCTTGTATTCGCCGATCCCATGTTAGTCATAAGTTAAAAATGTTTTGTTATTGCCCTCCCTCCTGCCGTTCACTGGTGTACAAATTTTGTGTGTTATTGGCCAAAATAATATACATATTCGGACTTGTTGTGCGCTAGCACCAGTTGGTCAACAGGGGTTGGTTTGATTGTAGCCGCAAGATTTTCCATTACGACGACCATTTGTGACCCATTTCCTTCTGCATGGTGTAGCAAAAAGTTTGTCTTTGTTTTACTTTGTGTAGCCTTTCACAGCGAAACCGAAAAAAATAAATGAATGAATGACAGGAAATAGACGCGAAATGTTGACAAAAGAATTTCAGAATTTTATGGAAATATGGTCATTAAAGTTATAGCCATTTGTAACATATACTCCTCGCATAAGTACATACGTGTTGCTATGCGCCACTGCACTTGTATGTGAAATGAAATTTATTTGTCCCAAGCAAAGTATGCAGGCAGGTAGGTAGGTATATTAATATGTTATTAATGAGTAACGCACGTGCACCATGGCCATTGTTCCCAGTGAGAAGTGCAACGGAGATGGGAGTTATGCTTGAAAGAATTTAAATATATGAGGGGTTGAATGACTAGCCTTGCATAGTTCTTTATGGAAAAAATAGCATCGTATTATTGTTAACAGATTATTATACCCTCCATCAAAAGATGGGCTATATAATTACTGTGATATTCAGTTTGCAATACCTAGAAATATTTGTCGAAGACTTCATAATGTATATATTTGTGACCAATCAGTCGAAATCAAGCTATTCAATATTTAAGATAGGAGT